CCTTCATAAAACAAAGCTTATTCTCCTAAGGAAATTCTGGAAAAATGACTTAGAACTTGTCTTTTAACACCATTATGATAATACTCTAATGAAATGATAATGTGCATCTGCCTACGATATAAAAATAGTCTTTACAATTCTCTCAAAGTAGATTTTTATTTATAATTTTCTCAGGCTTTAGGCACTCACGGGTGCCTTAAAATTCTGTCTTAAAATAACAACGCTAGAGGGCAGGTGATAGATTTCTAGGGCATTATCGTATTTCTTTAGGCACTCAGCTTGCAGCCTGGTTTTTCATAATCATTTCTGTCCTGGGAAACTATAATTATCCTGAAGCACAACTACTTCCACTGCCTCATTTCTTAATTACAGTGGTGACATGAGATAAATGCACACTTATTGAGACCAAATGCATGTTATTTTGTGGTGATTATAAGTAAGTTATCATAGTAGCAATTGTGATTATGTGGTGATCAACTACTGACACCATGTTATGTTTCAGAAACTCTGTAATTAAGTCCTGTCAAGAGGGCACTTCCTACTTGAGATGAAAGAGACTTAGCATGAGAGACTGGCCAATGGAAGAGCCACTGACATGCTAACCCTGAGCTTATTCAAATGATTCCGTATGAATCTCAAGTAAGAGCATTATGCCAACAAACATTTGGGGGATTTCATTTAAATTTCTACCTAAAATACTTCAGATAGAGTATTTTTAAACTAGTCTTTGTCTTTTCTGACCTTCAGAACAAGAAGCTTTGACTATATCCCAAGGGAAAGAAAACATGAAATATGATAGGAGTAATTTTTGCCTTCAATGATAAATTTTTATCCTAATAGTAATGTTCTTTCAAGTACTATAATGCATTGTCATAAAAGTTTTTAATTCCAAAGGTTATTTATTTTCTTGTCATTTCAATTTTTTTAAAAACTTTAATTGCTAAGATAATTCTTACCTTGTTCGTACAGTTTACTAGAGAAATACGTTCTTTCTCTCAAAAAAGGCAAAAGGAAAAATAATTATGTCAGGTTTTATATCTATACATATATATTGATACATATCGATACATGTATATATACATATATATATATATATATGTATGTATGTTGGGTGAAGGTTTCGGGTTCACTATTGCGTGGTATCCAGAAGTCTGACTGCCTGCTCTGTCACTGACTAGATGTAAGATTTGGACAAGCTACTTACCGGCACTGGGGTACAATTTCTTTATCTGTAAAAGTGGACAGTAACAACATATTATTGGTAAGAGGGTCAAATTAGAATGCTGTTTGGTTCATAGTAAGTACTATATAGTTTTCAGTTTGATTTTATGTAATTTATGGATGTTAGGGTCAATGGTCCAATCTCTCAGATTTTTCTTTCTATCTCCAACCATGGTGATGATTGAGTCTGATAATTCTAATAGGTTTTCCTCAGAGACTTTTTTCCCCTAATCTGGCATGACATGAGTAAATATGATGTCTTTTCCAAAGTAAAAAGGACATTCAAATAATGAGCCCAGTTCTCTGATTTGTAAGTCCTTGGCAAATTTTTTTTTTAAATACTGGTGCAAACAATGCTTTCATATTTTTAAATTAAAAGCCTTTTCTCTGAGCATTTACAGTTATCCAGTGACTTACTATATATCAGCAACAAAATGTCTGCAGTATAACATTGAGTACATAGCTACTATTCTAACTAGGTTGCAATGAAAATGATGTTGGAATGATTGCTGCAAATTCGTTTTTATTCCCAAGTGCCTGAAATCATCAAGAAATATAGTTCCTTAGAAAACAGTCTGTGAGAATCCATATACAACATTAGTCCTAAGACACTTTTCTTCTATATTACTTTTTGTTCAATTACAGTGGCTATACTTCATATACTTTATAAAACACGTTAATCTTACTTTCCTAATGATGTAAATAAAATCTTTCCCTACACCAAAGAAACCTTTTATTTAAGGAATACAAACCTCATGCATTTTCATAAGTACAACTTTAAAATAGAGTGATTTTTCCCACCATACCTACCCTCCCACCCACTCTCCTACTCCTCCTCCCTCTCCCATTCTCAGTCTCATTCTCCACTAAGATCCATTTTCTATTAACTTTATACATAGAAGACTAACTCTATACTAAATCAAGGGTTCAACAATTTACATGGTAAAAACAAAACAAAACAAACAAGCAAAGAAAAACTGTTTCTTAACAGTTGAGACAAGGGCTATTCAAAGGCATTGCATCTTGAAGTTAATTTCACTTCTTTTCTTTCTTTCTTTTTTTTTAGAAACTTAATTAACTTTAACAAAGAACCCGAGAATGATATATCTTTTGGGAGAACTTAGACATAGTTATACTACAGCTTTTTGAACACAGAGGTCTTGAATGGGAAGTTAGTACACCATGACTCTTGTTAATTTAACAATAACACTCTTATGTATGATGTCAGTGGGATGGGAGATCACCTGAGGCTCTTGACATGAGCTTTCTAGGCTATGGAAGCCTTTTGAATCCACAAACTCCATCAGTACTTAGACAAGACCATAAGCAAATAAAGTTATCTCTCCCTTCAGAGAAAAATACCTTCTTCTTTGATGACCACTTCATTCCACTGGGGTCTCACTCACCGAGATCCTTCATGAAGGACACTTTTGCCTCAGTATCTTAGCCTTCCATAACTGAAATGCTCTCCTAGGCTTTTCAGCCAGAACAGAACACCTTAAGGGCTGATTCTTAGGTCAGAGTGCTATTTAATGCAATTGTCATTCTATGACTCTGTTGTGTGGACTGTTTCCCATGCTGGAGCATTCACTCCTTTTTAATTCTATCTATTATTATTACCAGACCCTTAATCCTACCCTTATGATCACTTTAATACTTAAGATGGTATTTTTGCCACCCAGCTGAAGGGGACTTGGGGCTCCATGGCAAGTTTTTAAACTGTACCCTTAGAAGTAAGTCTGTGGGAATGTATGCAGAACTATAGAGTTTTACAGATACAAACTTCATACACTTCATAATTGCAACTTCAGGAACATGGTGATTCTTCCCTTTGTGCCCACTCTTCCACCCATACTCCCAATGCCTCTTCCTCCTTCCTCTCTTATTCCCACTCCTATTTTTTACTGAGATCTATTTTCTTTTTTTTATTCATTTGACAGATAGAGATAGACAGTGAGAGAGAGAGACAGAGAGAAAGGTCTTCCTTCCATTGGTTCACCACCGAAATGGCCGCTACGGCCGGAGCTGTGCTGATCCGAAGCCAGGAGCCAGGTGCTTCCTTCTGCTCTCCCATGCAGGTGCAGGGGCCCAAGCACTTGGGCCATCCTCCGCTGCATTCCCGGGCCACAGCAGAGAGCTGGCCTAGAAGAAGAGCAACCAAGACTAGAACTGGCACCCATGTGGGATGCTGGCGCTGCAGGTGGAGGATTAACCAAGTGAGCCATGGTGCCGGCCCCTGAGATCTATTTTCAATCAAATTTATACACATGTTTATGTTAAGTAAAGAGTTCAACAAATAATATTTTTTGACAGGCAGAGTTAGACAGTGAGAGAGAGAGACAGAGAGAAAGGTCTTCCTTTTCCATTAGTTCACCCCCCAAATGGCCGCCACGGACGGAGCGCTGCACCTATCCGAAGCAAGGAGCCAGGTGCTTCCTCTTGGTCTCCCATGTGGGTGCAGGACCCAAGCACTTGGGCCATCTTCCACTGCCTTCCCAGGCCACAGCAGAGAGCTGGACTGGAAGAGGAACAACCGGGACTAGAACCTGGGGTTCCGGCGCAGCAGGCAGAGGATTAGCCTAGTGAGGCACTGCACCGGCCAACAAATATTATTAAAAAAAAAAACATCTCCTCAACATTAAAGACAAGTGTTGTTCAAGTCATTGCTTCTCAAAGTATCAATTTCACTTCTACAGACTGCCTTTTATGTGCTCTATTATAGGTATCACAGATCGGGGAGAACATGTGATATTTATCCCTTTGGGACTGGCTTATTTCCCTATGTATGCTGTTTTCCAGATTGGTTGAGAATAACTCTTTTTGTGATTTGCATAAATAATCTTTGCAATTTAGACCAGAAATATGAATTTCTCATTTTCTTAGTATTTTTTAAATTCTTTCTGGAATATTAGACAGACCAGATGTTAGATTACATCTATAAATATGTTCAATTTTTAAATTGTTCTTTCAAAGTCCATCTAGATTTCATCTTTTGTTAGTCTCTTATCAACAAAGGAACAAAACTTAAATATTGTAATATTTTGAGAGTTAATGTTGATGTATCAAAAATAGTAAAGTGATTTATATGTAGGGAAGAGTTTTGGCCTATATGAAATAAGTTTCTGCGTAGAATTTAACAGTTTCATTACTACAGTAAGAATTCTTCATTTTATCACAAGGAAACAAGTTTTCTCAAGTCTGATTTCATTTCAATATGTATACATATGTATGCCAGAAAATACCTGGAACAGTTAGAACTGATCTAATCTTGATTCTTCACTACTCTAGAAGTTACTAAACTTGGAGGTTTGATGGTATTGGTTCCATCATACGAAAAAAAAAAAAAAACTGGTAGGTAAGATAATGCTAAACTGTTGGTTAGCTTCATATGAAGAAATGCCAATTTCAATTTTTAACTTACTACAATACTTGGGTTGCATTATGACTCTTAGAGATCTGTAAGGTAAGAAGTAAAATGGATTTCTAAGACTTACCTTTGAAAATCATATGGAATGGAGGAATAAGTACAAAAAGTTTTTCCAGTAGAAAATGATGAATTCTTATGTTAAGCTTTGCATCAATAATTCCCCAATTAGGTCAAAACTATAAGTGTGATATTGATATAATTTGAAATGAGAGCTTCTTACAAAAAAAGATAGTTGTACTTCCCATAAATTCCAGTTTTAGATGAGGTGCCATATGGAGCTTGTATTGCCACTTTTGAGCTTACGTGTGAGCTTAAGTGAATGATCCTGTGGCCATTTCTTTTTATCTTTCAGATCAGCATTTTCATGACCCACTTATCGAACTATGGGAACGACCGCCTAGGATTATATACCTTTGTGAACTTGGCCAACTTCGTGCACAGCTGGACCAACCTGAGACTGCAAACTCTTCCTCCAGTGCAACTGGCCCACAAGTACTTTGAGCTCTTCCCTGAGCAAAAAGACCCTCTCTGGCAGGTAACATTTAGCATTGTCTCCTGGGGTGGAGGGCAAGAAATTGGCAATCTTGAGTGTCTCATTTGTCTTAGGTACTCTATTGAATATATTAAATTTGCAATTAAGACAAAGTGCTCTTTTATTCAATAGTTTCATTCTTTTCTTCAACAATATTTTTGTCTGTTTTATAGATAAAGTGTTTGCATTTGGAGGATGGGTGTTAAATTGGTTGATAGGTTGGTTTGAGAATTTTGCCGTGTGGGTGTTGTTTTATTGTCTTCTTTTCCAAGCTAATCATGTTGACTTGCACATAGTGTGAGGAATAACTAGAAACCAAATGGTTAAGCATCGGATATCTAGGGAGATGGAAATTCTGAGCCATTCTCTTCTAAGACTTTGATATCAATACTGAAGATGCAAAAAGAAAAGCAATTTTTATTTTGTTCCCATATAGATTTAGTTTCTCTTTAGTATATCTTCACATTTCTGTACATCTAACTAATGATTAGACACTGATAAAACAAAATTGTCAGTTTTAGATTGCTTTTACCAATAACTTCATGGGAGGCTACTCAGCTTGGATGCATGAAATATAACCTCTCTGCTTCTTAGCAGTTATCTAGGAATATGCTGCCTCCCACTTTCTTAGTTCTTTTTGCATCAGATTACATCGACCCACACAATCAATAAGCTAGCTGCAGAGAACAGATCAGATGATCCCCTGCTAAGCAGTTGGTAGAGAACTAACATCATTACTAATGAGAAATTACTGTGAAACATACTTTCTACCATCCCCCCTCTCCTGGAGACGATTTGTTTTTCAATAGTCTATAAATCCTGCACATGCCAGTCTGTCTATATAGTAAGGAACTCTTTCAGCATATGGTTATTGGCATCTGCTATATGTAGAGCAAGGCTAGCTGTTCTACGGCATGGGAAGAAGAATAAGATACAACATTTTCTCTGAAAGCTGGTGGAAGACTGACACCTTATTCACCATCATGTGATGTAACTGGAGACCATTATGATTAGTGAAATAAGCCAGTCCCAAAAAGATTAATACCATATGTTTTCTCGGATATGTGGCAGGTAATATAGAATAGAAAAACAATGTATAAGAATGAAACTGACATCTTGTGATTTGATTATTGTTTATAACCCTAGTCTATACTCCAGTGGAAGAGTGATCTTTCTATTTTTTACTTCTTGAACATTATGGTTAGTGTTGTGTTAAGAATGCCTGTGATTATAAAGTAAATTGAAAGTTTGTTATTACAAACACTGAAGGGACAAAAGAAGAGAAGGAAGGATAAGGTATTAAAGGAGGGAGGGAAGAATGTATGAGTATTTTCTTAGAATTTCATCTATGAAATACATGAAATTTGTTGTCCTGAAAGTAATAAAAATTAAATAAATATATTATAAGAAACTGCTCCAGTAAGTCATACCTGATTCTGACCATTTATTCAGGAATGCCTCACCATTTGTGTTTCCTTTAAACTTCAGAGTCTAATTATTTTGCCTATCCAATAAGTTGTTTGACCATTCATATTAAATATTTAAATATGTTATGTAGACAAATAAATGGATAGAAACACAATCTTTATGATTATATAAAGTCACACCAAATGGATGTTGCTTGCTTTGGCAATACATATACTAAAAGCCTTCTATTTCATAAAAGTTGGTAACTCCAAAGAGCTCACACATCTTTATAAAGTTGATAAATTATTGATAGTTAATCAATTATTTTCTTGCACAAATTTATATATGAGATATTTATAATTTATGGTACAGCAATCAAAAACCACAAATTAGTAAAGATTTCAGAGTGCTGACACATAATGTCAATGGATCCAAGATATACTTCTTTTACTTTAGGAAAAATATTATAAAGAAATAGCAATGACTTGCATTTCCTGATATGTATGAGCTTTTAAAATAAAGAATTATATTTATTGATATTTCTGGATGTCATTGACACTGTTACTTTTTTGAAGAGTGAATGTAACTGAAGATATGCCATCTGTAATATATTTGGTCAACATGACTTTAAATATTGATTTATTGTTTATTAAACACAAAATTTTCTGATGGAGTTACAAATGAAAATCAGAAATAGGAAAAATCATGATTATTTGAATAATTATGTCATTTTGGAAGACCTAAGAAATACATATATACATAAGTAAAATATTTGCAAACGCTGTTTACATTTTAAATTTGAATAGCAATAGTGATTCCCAGGAAGTTCTTAATAAAAGTCAAAGCAAATGATTATGAAAAGAATACAACAACAAAGAACTCAATAAATAAATTTTTTTTTGACAGGCAGAGTGGACAGTGAGAGAGAGAGACAGAGAGAAAGGTCTTCCTTTGCCGTTGGTTCACCCTCCAATATAAATAATTGAAAGTAAAAGAATTAATGAGAGAGCCGGCGCCGCGGCTTACTAGGCTAATCCTCTGCCTTGCGGCACCAGCACACGGGGTTCTAGTCCCGGTTGGGGAGCCGGATTCTGTCCCGGTTGCCCCTCTTCCAGGCCAGCTCTCTGCTGTGGCCCGGAGTGCAGTGGAGGATGGCCCAAGTCCTTGGGCCCTGCACCTGCATGGGAGACCAGGAGAAGAACCTGGCTCCTGCCATCGGATCAGCGCGGTGCGCCAGCCGCAGCGCGCCGGCCAAGGCGGACATTGGAGGGTGAACCAGCGGCAAAAGGAAGACCTTTCTCTCTGTCTCTCTCTCTCACTGTCCACTCTGCCAGTCAAAAAAAAAATAATAATAATGAGAGAATATCACATAGATTTCACAGATTTTATTATCATTATTATTTATATAAGTTTAGGAATCTTCATATATGTTATCATACTGTAGCCTATACCTAGAGTATTTAAATAACTCAGCACTAAATACTTTTTCTTGAAAGAATCTCTTTACTATCACGGGAATTCTATAGTTTATATGAGTTCCTTTGATTAAAAAAGTAGATAAGCTTGCAAACATTTTCCATTAACCAAAGTATCATGTTTTCCTAAATATATTTAAGAAGGAAAACAAGGAATTGCAAACCGAGGAGTAGTTATGTTCACAAGAGAATTCTTTAGGTGCGTGTGATTTTGAGAATAGTGAACTCATTGCACAAATTGGATGATCTTTGCTGATGATCAGCAACATCCAAGAAACCGCAAATGGTGAAGTACAATAAAGTGCATACTTTCTGCATTCTCTTCCTTTGTGGGTATCTCTTCTTTCATATTCGTATTTATAACAAACAAAAATTCTCTAGATATTGTCAATAATTTCCTTTACAGAATGCAAATTTAGTTCTCCAAGTATGTATAAATTAACCCAGTATTAATTGATAAACATTTTACAACCCTTTCATCACCACCCTATAGAGTTAGGATAGAAAAATAGTTTATGTCTTTTAGTTGTTGTGTATTGTCAAAAAATTTAAGTTACCTTTCATATTTATGGGTTTGACTTTTTATTTATTATCTTCCCTTTAAGTGTGAGTCAGCTGTTATTTTTATTTTACATTTTCAATTCACACTTTTTTATTATCACAAATTGAAAAGTGTAAAGTGATAATCTTTGCATCTGTTTAATTTATTTGGGTTTCTTATGTACATTTTCATTAGCACTAACTATCATATATGTGAGCTGCCTTGTCACCTAATTAAGAAGTGCAAGATGGATATCTGCCAAGAGGCAGCAGGACAAGTAGGGCTTAGGGCGTTGATGCTCCTTTCTCAATGGAAGTTAATTCTTCCAAAGCTGATCAGTACAGGAGTGTGTGCTGAGAACACACCTGGAATACTATCTCTGAACTGCACTTTTGTGAATCTAGTCTCTCGTGTGTAAGACTCTTAAAATTATACTCTCGGGTACTTATTAATTCATGTCCTTTATTATTTTGGTAGAATAATCACACAAAGCATGAAAGAATCGCATCTCCTCTTAAAATAAATAAATCTCCCACTGTCAACGAAAACCACAGCATGGAGGCAGTTGGAAGGTCAAATTCTTGTGCATTCTCTAATCGATGCTTTTAAGCTCTCAAGCTGTCAGGTTAGCTCAGTCTCAATCTTCACTCAAGGCTCCAGAGTCTCACTATCTACAAACATGCCAAGCGAGCTGAGCTGTGGATTCCTGCTCACTGAGTGTGACTAGGGGAATGCTGTAAGAGCTGCAGCTTCTCTCCTTCTGTGCCAGAGTCCCAAGGGTTAAAGAAGTGGGAAAGTAAATCAGAGAGTGTTCACCTTCCACCTCTGGTGCCTTTGTTGATTCCAGCTGTCAAAGCTTTCAGCCCAAGTTTAGGAATGGTGAGATTTGGATGTTGGTGACATAAACAAATCACCAGATCTTGTGGCATAAATATCCAGAGTTCTATTATGATGTATCTGTTGAAGTAATGAATGAATGTGGATACAGAGAACTGTGGATTGTAAGAGCAGAATAAGGAGTTAGAGGCATGCAGCCTAACCTATTCATTTTATAGAGGAAATGGGTGACATACAATGAAATGAAATGCCCCAATTCTAACTCATTTTGCTTTATTACAGAAAAGTCGGGACTAAAGCCAAGGTTTTTCTTATTCCTACTCCAGCCCAAGATGGTGGCTGACACTTACAAAAACAAATCAATTCTATCCTTAACTCTATAAAGGATGAAATTTCAGGGATAATTTCTTACTTTAGAAGAGTCTGCCAGAGTGTTTTGTGTGAATGTATTCAGCTCCTACATAATAAAAAGGAAGACCTTTACTTTTATGAAACTTAAACCATAGTAGTTCTTTGTTATAAGAAAATGACAATAAAAATTGTCATATCTTTTTTTCTCACTGGCACCTGCAATTGTTTATTTCACTTACCATACAGTATGCAGATACTTGTGCCTGTCATACTCCAGCTCATGCAAACATTAAAAGGTGAGATGATGTTTATTCATATTTGTAACCTAAAACCGAATTCAGCAAAATTGCCTTTAGCCCCTGACTTTAAAATGTTAAGACAGAGTTAACAAA